TGTCCGAGGCGGAGAGCATGCCAGCACCAGGGGTGTGTGGGAGGGGATGGTCCCTGGCATGGATGGCTTCCTACGGCGGGGATGCAAGGGTGGGGGGGGGGCTGGTGTCATGCACACAAAGGGAGTGTGGTGCTAAGAGCAGGAGACCAGCCTAGGGATCCCATGCCAGGCTGGCTCATCCAGCTCCAGGCTCCTGGGGCCTCAGCTCTCACTCCAGGTCCTTTCCTTGCGACACCTTATGATTTATGACCGACCCACAGCTCCCACACCATCTCGTTAGCAGCGATCCTTGCCTGGGGCTTCTCAGACTTTAAACATCACTAGGGACTTGTCAAAATGCAGATTCTGATTCCCTAGCTCTGGGGCTGGGGCCCGAGAGTCTGCGTTCCTAACGAGCCTGCAAAATGCCCAGCGAATTTCAAAAATCAGATCACCTCAATGGAACAAGGAAAAGGACGATTTAAAGGAATCCTATAGAAATCCTTGTACAAAGCAAATAAAAACTCTATCTTCATCGGTCAAACCAACCCAGGATTTTCAATTAATGAGGTTGTGCCTAAGTCGGCCGCAGGGTTTAGTGGGAAGAACACTGGGTTAGAGCCAGAACACCACAGCTTCAAATCCCAGCTTTGCCACTTAGAACCATGGACTGTGGAAGTCCGTTCATGGCTCTGAGCTTGGGAGCCTGTTCTATAAAACGGGACGAGGACCGCGTGCACGTAAAGCCCCATCACGGTGCCCGGGAAAGGCCCACATCCTGTTGTTGAATCAGGGGTCAGAAGAGGTGCCCTTGTTCAGGCAGCCCTTAGATCATACCCCACATTCTCCACCAGCAAGGCTCTCCCCGCTCCATCTGCGGTGGGCATGGAGCTGGGCCTCGGAGGGAGCCAGGGGAGCAGGTCAGTGTCACTGCCCGCCTCCCTCCCTGGGGGCTGCGAGCTTGTGGAAGGCTGTGCTGGCCGGAGGCTCATCCCTGCCATGGGGTGTGGGGGGGGGCTGCTTTGATCAGGGGCTCGTAGCAGGAGGCTCATGGAGCGGTTGGGACAGGAGCCCTCTCGGAGCATCATCGGGTGGCCCTACAGGGGCATTTGTGTGTGTTTCCTGACAAGGAGCACAGCTGCATCTCACTCTGCCCCGCACAACAATGGGGAAGGGGCCGAGTCCAAGTCTCCTGGCTTGGGCCCCCGAGCTCAGGGGGTGGACAGCTGCCCCCCATACATGTGGCTCACATGCCTCTGGGGCAGTGCGGGGAGATGCCTGAAATCTGTCATGGCCCATGGGGACACCTTAAACCCAAGCCTGACCCTTCACACCAGCCAGGAATCTGGCTCCCAGTGAGCCCATCTCCTCTGCCCTTAGAAGACCGTGGGAGAACCAGGGGCCACGACACGGCTGACTGGGAGGACGCAGTAAGCGGCCCTGGAAGCCCACCACCCAACGAGATGACCATTCGGCCATTAGAGTCCCTTTCCTCCAGCAGGCGGTGCTGGCTTAGGGGGGACCAACACGAGCTCTGCACAAGAGCTCTCTGGGCTTCAACTTGGGGGCTGCCTCTGAGTGTCTGGCCCCGGGGCAGACTGCTTAACTTCTCTCTTTGCCTCACTTGCTTATCAGTAAAATGCGGGATAATGATCAGTACCTCCTACATCGGTGTGTCTGTGACAGAAGAAAGAGAATCAGTACCTCCTACATCGGTGTGTCTGTGACAGAAGAAAGAGAAGCATAAAGCGAGCTCTCAGCAGAGTCTACAGTTGGCACTAAAAAATATGAGTTATTGATGGGATCTCTTGGAGGGGAGTGCAATGGGGGTCTCTTGTGGTCCACACAACCCCCACTTCCCCGCCGCCACCATGACCACGGACATGACCTCAAGGGAGGGTCTGTATGGGAATGGGGGCTGGGCTGCTGTGATCCCAGCTTCCCGAGGGCAGTGACCCTGACGCAGAAGGCCTTGTGTCTGCTGTGGGCTCTCTCCGACGCGGGGGAAGAGCCCTCTTTTTTTTTTTTTTTTTTTTTTTTTAATGCCCAAGAGATTCACCAACCAAATCAGATGGGAAATGGCTTTGGGAATTATGATGCGCCCTCGCCCGTCGTCATGTGGTCCCTCATGTAATCCTTTATTCATTCCACAATTATTTATCCAGGGCCCACAGAGCGCCAGCCGTAGGAGTACTGGATTAAGATGGAGAAGATTTGGATTCAAGTCTTATCTTCGTGACTCATCAGTGGCAAGACCTTTCTTATCTGTGAATTGGAGAAAACGGTTGCTCCAGGCACATTCCGTGGGCGGAGCGCGGTAATCTGTCCCTGCAGAATTTGTGAGATTGCGAGCGCTTCCAGGAGACCAGTCCTCACAGCTTCGCCAGCAGTCCAGTTTACAAAACACTCCTACGGACCTTCTAACAACCATCCGGGTTTCTGCTTGGCAGTCTCTGCGTTCTCAGAGTCTTTCCAATCCTTCATTTGAATTCTGTCCGTAGCGCAGTTTAAATCCATTTCCTTTTCTGTGGGCCTCAGAAGTAGAAACCGGTATCCCAGGATCCTCAGCCAATTCAGGCTTCTTCAGAGGAGGACGGCGCGCTGGAGGGGTCCTTTCTGTGACGACGATATGGCCGATGGCAAGAGCTCGAAGTTATCAAGCTCATAGTTACTGAGGTGCTCAGCCTTTGCTGCTGGTACCTCCCCGAGGCCCAGCGACCCCACCAGGCGGTCCCCACGGGCCCCGTGATCCTGGAGCTCGGCGACACCTGGTGCCCTTCCAATGGCTTCTTCCAGGACCTGGAATTTCCCCTTTAGAGCTGGTGACTGGTGGGTCTGGGCTGGGGCACGTGCAGGGACTCCTCCAAAGCCCGTGTGATCCTCACCGCCCCTCACCCACCCCTTCCTCTAGTCTACTTCCATTTTTGCTGTGCCCTTAAAGAACAAGTACCAGTCCCGGATTCAAAAGAAACCAGAAACCCTGCCACTATGAACACAGCCGCATGCACCCCAGTCAGCCTCCAGCTGGGTGGAAAAGAAGGTGACAACTGGGAAATGACTGGGGACCACAGCCACAAACCGCTCTCTGGCTTCCAGCCAGCCCGTCCATGGGTTATTATCCTTCTGGGGCTGAAATTCTACCTTCTGATGATCCCCTATGTCATCTGGGGATTCACCCTCAAAACAACGGTCTTTGCCGATCTGGCAACCAGAAAGCTCAAGACATAGGTCCCTTTACTGCCTGGGGAACCCGGGAGGGGGGCAGATCCCCTGGGCCTCAGTTTCCCCACTGGACCACCGAGGAAAATAAAGCTCTTTCTCACTTGTGCTTGAGGCTGGTCTCCAAGCCAGTCTGTAGTGAAGGGCCTCATGTATGCATTGGAGGCAGCACACAGCACCGTCTCTGGCCGGTCGACATAGGGCCTTCCTGATGAACCGTTAAGTCCTGGCAGGACAGGAATGGTGTCTGCCAGTGCCCTCAGATGCCTCTTTCACTCTCCGCTGCCCAGGCAGCCCTCCGTGGAGCCCATCAGCAGCATGCCTGGCTAGGAGAAACAAGGCCTCTGGGCACTGTGCTTTACATTTCCTTTTAAGCCCCCTGTCTCTCTAGTTTGTAAAAATAGCAAGCAGCATCTACCAAAAGAGAAACGTACTAACTGGAAGGCACTGAGTTGGGGGCAGGCGACCGGGTGGGGAGAGGGGGCGGTGGGCAGTGCAGAGAATGCGGAGGAAGGGGTCCTGTGTTATGCCTACATGCTTATCTCCCTGGTACCATTTTAATGCCTGAGCTGACACGTCCAACTTACAGTATGCAAAGAAACAGCATTTTCACTTCAGATGCATATGATGGCTAGGAACAATATGAACAATATTATTTTAGTGCCCTGGGGAAAAATTAGCAAATCAAATATTGAATCAGGCCTGTAGCACGACATGCAAGGCAGACTGCTTTGATCTTATCCCCACTAAAAGCTCTATTATTGAATTTAAAGTCAGTGAACACATATTGGACCAATATACAATGCACATCTGAACACACGTTTCGGAAGCCAGGAATGCTCTGACTAAAGGGAGAAAATACCAAAGTTACAGCTACAATTGAAACACAAATTTGCCCTGCCTCTTCTCATGGGGCTGGAGGCTCTGCTGGCTAACCAAAATATTTTGGCCCCAAAGGGCCTGCTGATGACTCCAGGAACACCTGCTGAGCTCCCACATCTCTGGAGCCAAGAAGGAAGGGGTTTCTTGCCCACAGATTCAATTTGAAGGAGTTAGAGACCTCCCCCAAACCAATGTGCACGCTGGCGCCCTCTGGTGGCCACTTCTCTGGGAGGCCTACCTGTTTAGGGGGCCTTCCCAGGAAAAGTAGCTTTTAAGATCCAGAGGAATGGAAGAGGGTGCTCCTGAAGGTAAAACCAGCGAGTTGATGGGAAGGGGAGGATGTTATCTACCCAGCAGGGCCCAAACGCACAACGAACTTGGGTGGTAAACTTCCTTCCCAAGAGATAACCCTCAAAAAGCCAAACCAAACAGCAAACTCGTATCCTAAGCTGCCCGTCAGCAAATTATAACACAAAGGCCAACTGTGGTTCCCCTGCTGGCTTCTATGTACAGCCCAAGGGCCAAGAAGGGTTTCTATACTTTCAAATGGTAAAAATATAAACAGATACATAAATATTCGGCGGCATAATGACACGAGATCAGCGTCTGTGTCCATCTGCACAGCTTTATGGACGCACTGCGGTATCCGTGCGGGACTGTCCGCGCACGCTTCCGCCACGGCTTTGGGATGCTGTGACCATAAGCTGCATGGCCGGAAAAGCTGGGGATATTTACCACTTGGCCCTGCCCCGAGAGTCTGTCAACTCTTGCCGTTCACAGGACTGAACCCTTAGAGTCTCGTCCCCATGCCCACCCTGCCCAGCTTCTCATGTGAGGATGCGGGCTTTGGAAGTCTGCAAGACAAAGCCAGGCACACTGAGGGGAGGGAAGGCATCGCAGTGCGAGCCCTACAAACTTACCATTTTATTATTGATTTCATGGAAATGAATCTCACAGACTTTCTCCACAACATCTTCATTCTCAAACGTGACAAAGCCAAACCCTACAGGAAAAAGGAAAACAAAACAAAAACAAAAACAAAACAGAGGGGGTGGTGAGTTCGGTTCCAGCCAGCCACATGTTTGTCTTTGATGTCCTGCAGCAGGGACAAGGCTGAGGTGGGGGGCCGGATCCCTGGGAAGGGCCTCCAGATTGGGGAAATGATTTCTAATTTGTACCGGGCACCCTTCTGACAGCGAGGAAAAGTTAACGATTTCACCCACACGCAGCGGGCACCGTGTGGCTTACATCTGCCCTGAAGCAAACAAGAAATTTACTTGTCTGTTATTTACAAGGGCCAGAGCCCTGCGGCTCTCCACGCTGAGGCGGGCGGGCGGACGACCCCGTGCTCCAGCGGGGATCACCATGGGGCCACACGTGCCCTTTCCGCGCTGGAATGGCCAGCCCTGGGGTCGGCCTCCAGACGGAGGTGGTTATTTGTCCTTTTCTTCCTGAATTACTTCCTCTAATACCTCATCAGGACATCCTGAGGCCTGGAAGAAACTATTAAAAGTTTCAGGCCTCTGTTCTACACAGGCTTCCTTTTTCTACCGCTGCTTCCAAAGCGCAGCGGATCTGGGCAGTTTAAGACTGTTTGATGCCTGCTGTCAGCCCGTCAGCCATCCACTGTATTTACTCGGCTGGAGACCGGCTTTGCTAGACAAGCTGTACTGAAGAATTCTGGCAGGCGACCGCTGCTCAGCATCCTGAGTTGCTCTCGCTACCCTCCTGCCCCTCCCTTTCTTCTCCTCCCGCCCAGGACAGGGTTCCAGCACGCTGCCCCATCTGTGGCCCCACTCAGTAAGCACTGCTTTACCACACGGGCCCGCTCAAGGGACAGCACTAACACCACGAGGAAACACACGTGCAGCAGGTGCAGACAGATGCCTGGATGGGAAGGCAGCAGACCGGACTCAGCGCCTATGAACTTATGTGGTACGCTGAGAAGCCCCCTCCCCACTCTGCACCTCGAGCTTTGCACCTGCAGATTACAGTGGTGAGACCGAACACCCAGCTTGCAGCCCCGATCAGGATTTGCAAGGTTATTGGCTACGAACTCAAGGTTGTGTCCCCCCCACCCCCAAACAGCCCCAATTCCCACCTTGAAATCCTGACCCAGGGTGATGGCTTCAGGAAGCGGGGCCTTGGGAGGAAAGGGCATCATGGGAGTGGCCACCTCATTAGTGCCCTCAGGAAAGACACCAGAGAGAGGAAGCACGTGCTTTCTCTCTCTCTTTTCTGCTGGTTGAGGACACAATGAAAAGATGACTATTCTGCACGAGGAAGAGGGCCTTCACCGAAACCCTGACCATACTGACACCCTGACCTTGGACTTTCAGCCTCCAGAATGGTGAGAAATACATTCCTGTTGTTGATAAGCCTCCCAGTCTATTGTCCTTTGAAATAGCAGCTCAAATTGACCAAGACTCTACAGTCCCCAAAGACATGAACCTGACCCCAACTAGGAACAGGGAAGTCAGAATGGCTACTTTGTATTAGGATAGCATTTCCCATCAATGAGTTTAAAACAACAACAAAAAAATACAGGTCTTTCCTCTTCAAGCTTCTGTGTCAAGTGTGGGTCCTGGAAACCCAGGGTGGAGAGATAATCTGGTTCCTTCCGTGTCTCTCCCTTCTGGCTGTCCTACCACCATCTCTGAGGAACAGCAGAGAACAGGCAGCTGATACCCTGAGCTCCTCCATCATGGCTCCTGCAGGATCTAGAACATTCTTAGGGAGAGGGATGGACACGGCCACTCGCTAGTCTTAAAAAATGTCCAACAAAACAGAGGGCCGGGACCAGCACACGAATGGCAGCCACAGTCATCACTAGGATACGTGCTTTATTACCACACACCAAATAGGGGCCCAACAAAAAACTTTCCACCAGATATACAACCAGCCCCATACCAGGTCCCTGGAGAGGGAGGAACAGTGCCATCCTCCAGGTTCCCTCTGTCAGGGCACCTCCTGCTCTTTGGCCCTCAGGTCTATGGACTGCGAGCTGAGCTCTGGAAGAGCTACACCCAGAGGCGGTCTCCCCAACATTTCTCTTTGCACTTTGGTGTGCTGGCTTCCCATGCCCCCTTCAAAGGAGTGTGAAAAACATCAGATAAGTCTCTCGCCCAAGCAGGGACCCCATCAGCACACAGGGGACCAGCATCACTTTGGTTAACCCCCTCCCTTCTGCCCATGTCCTACAGCCCAAATCCTAGGGGCCCCTCAAAAAAGGATGAAGACGCAGGGCCCTTCAAAAGGTCCTCCGTGAAGGGTGGGGTGGCATGGCAGAGGATGGGGGAAGCTATAGGGTGCAGGGATCCACTAGCGCGGGCTTCATAGGACCATGGCAGGGCTGGGTCCCCAGGATTCACAGAGCCCCTAACACACAGAGCGTGCCAGGTTGCCAACGGCTGAATGAATGAACCATTTCTGTCCCTCTGGGGTCTGAGTATCTTGATTATCCACCTGTACCACCGCCTCCCCTCAAGATGGACTTGGCCCTTCCTTCTGCGTTTACAGGCTCCCACCTGCACTAGGCATCCTGAAGGGCACAGAGATCAGTAGGACAACGTCCTTTTTCTGAAGCAGTGGGCTCCCTCAGTGGCACAAGTCAGAGGTTCCCACCCAAGGAGAGCATCTCGCCCCTCCCTCCCTTCCAGACTGCGTGTCAGCCTGAGATTTATTTGTCTCTGAAGGTCACCTCTCTAATCTGTATCTAAACCCAGTTAAACATGAATCCCTAAACCAGCCTGGACATGTTGGTACTCAGGGAAAACCTCACTGCTAATTGGGATGAGTGTAATGAGCTGAAGCGTGGCGCCCCAAAGCCGTGTCCCCAACCTAAACCCTGGACCCAAGGAATGTGACCTTCCTTGTTTGGAAAAAAAGGGTTTTTGCAAATGTAATGAAGTTAAGGATCTCAAGAAGGAGGGCGAGCCAGAGCCAATGACAGGCACTCTGAGGAGAGAAAGGAGAGGGGAAATTTGAGACCTAGAGGACAGAGAGGGGGGAAGGACAGAGAGGGCCACAGCCACTAGCCCACTCCCCCACGGGTGGGTCACGTGTGACCTCCCCCAGCCAGGCCCAGCAGGGCAGAAGGCAGGAGAGTGTGGACAAATGAACCCAACCCATCCGTGCCATCAGGAAATAACAGGAAGTCAGTGCCAGTCAAGGACACAGCTCCACAAGCCAGAGGACAGCCTGGTTCAGAGCCAGTTTGCTGCTGAGCACAGGTCCTAGATCCTGGAACGATGCCCAGGGTAAGTCAAGTCACCATGGGGGTCACGAGTTGAGATGACGGCCACGGGAGCTGCTTTCCTGCGGTAGCCCATGCCTTCCCAGTCTACTCTGCAGATCCCTGTCTGAACTCCAGGCACAGGACCATTCAGGACCCCCTGTCGCCCCAGTTTCTCAATCCATGCCATGTCTCCGAGCTGGGCGGAGGTGTGCCAAGAGCTGGGAGACAGGAATCTAAATGCAGACTGTGCACCAGGAAGGGCAGAGGCAACACTTGCCCCATCGTTTCGAATTCTGACTCTTACATCTCCCTGCGGGTCCCTTCCCTAACCCCACAGGACTCTAAATTTGAGTACCACAAAAATGATTTTCCTGATCAAAGGAGAGAGCCTGGATCTCAAGCCTATGTACCTCGGACACAAAACAATTCAGCGATGTCAAGACTCATTTGCAGTATTTTAAAGACCTATATCGTTTCAACAGCCCTGTCTGTTTGGTCCAAATAGAGAAAACAAACTTGATTGTGTCTAAAATATTTATGTATTCCATTTGAGAAAGCGAAGAAACTATGAAACACTTAATTATCAATAAATGTTATTCCTTAACATATAATCATTTTCCCCTCACAGGTGCATTATCATTTACAACGAATTAGTAACTCAGTGGAGAACCGCCCCCAAATAAATTAAACAGGAGGGTAAAAGACAAGACAACGGGGTCAGGAATTTGGGGGAGGAGAGGATGGTGGGTGGGAAAAATCCTTTTTCGGCATCGAAGTCTCTTTTTTGAAATTGATTTAATTGGGTAAAATGTACATAACATAAAATTTATCACTACAACCTTTGTTCTTTCTTTTCTTTTGGTGTACACTTCGGTGACAGTAGGCACATTCATGATATAGTGCAATGATCACACTATCCATTTCCAGAACTTTTTTTTTTTTTTAAACCATCCTGAACTGAGACTCTGTACCTAGCAAGCCACAGCTCCCCATTCCTCCCTCCTTCAGCCCCTGGTAACCTCGGTCTACTTTCTGTCTCTAGGAATCTGCCTCCTCTAGGCACCTCAGATGAGTCGAATCCTACAGTATTTGCCCTTTTGTGTCTGGTTTATTTCACTCAGCATATTTTTCCAAGGCACTGTAGTCTTTTGAATGGCCTGCCGGATGTATGGATTCTTCCTGAAACTCAGGACATCTGATTCTTCCTGAGAAGGGGCAGGAAGGACTTAAGATTTCCCTCCCATTTTTCCAAAGGAGAACCCCACAGAGAACCAGAAATGGAGCCTCACGAATGCCCACCAAACAGAGGCATAGCAGCCAGGTAAAAGAAACACAGGATTATCCTCACTCAAAAAAAAAAAAACAAAAAAACAAACAAACAAAAAAAAAAAACAAAAAAACAAAAACAAAAACCCAAACAACAACAACAAAAAAAAAAAAAAAAAAAAAAAAAGAAAAAAAAAAAAAAAAAAAAAAAGAAAAAAAGAAAGAAAAACAAGGACCAAACAAAATAATCAGCTGTGTGCTCTGGGCCTCTAAAAGCAGGCAGAACCAAAGGGATGTGTGTGTGGGGATGGGGGTGGGGAGGCATCCTGCTCTGGTCCCCGCCAAGGCAGGGACTGTGACCCATGGTGAGTCTAGGAGGGCTCACCCTCCATCAGGGCCCTTGGGAGTGCCCCCTTGACCACCCCCTGCTCAGGCTCTCATCTCCCTTGATCCTAAGGAGGGCTCACCCTGAAGCCAAAGAACTCTGGAGGTATTTAAAG